TTTTTAAACAAATCGAACGATAAGCTGCTGACAAGGACGTTTCTTGGTTTTTCTTTTCTAAAGACGGACGTTCCTTACTTGATAGGGACGTAATGATGTGTAATAATACTATTAATTAATAGTGTATGTTAAAGAAAAGTCAAGTCAAAGGGAAGGTAAACAAAAAATTTAAAAATGTACTAAACAAAGAACAGTCAAGTTAAAGTTAGATAGGGCTTCTCTGTAGGCCCAGTCCCAGATGTAATTTTGTTAGTTGTGTTCGGGCTTAGCCCCCCAAATTCACCAAGAGAAGATTTTATAATATAAAAAAAGTAAAGGCCAATGGGTTCCCACCACAGTGGTGGTGGATTCCCCCTTCCCCCCATGGCACCCAGGATCGAACCCCAGTGGGTTTCTTTCCTCCAATGTAACCAAAAAAAAATATAAAAAAAGTAAAGAGAAGAAAATAATTGATTTTAGAACCAAAGAAAACAAATAATAAAATTGAGAAACTCACAATAGATGTGTTGGATATGCGAAATCTTGAGCCATTCTGGGCCGCTGTCTTTATTGCATCTCTCTTTCAGAAGAGGACAATTGTTAATCCATATATCCTGTAATTTGGTGAGACATTTCATAGCTTCAAGTGTAGGAAGATGCATCAGATTCTTGCACCCCCCTATATTTAGGTACCCAAGAGATGCAAGATTTCCCAACCAATTTGGAAGAGCCTTCATGCCGTCAAAGGACGATATTGACAAAGAAGTTAGAGAAGTGAAGCGTTGAACTTGTTCAGGCAGAGAGTTGAGCTTCGGCCAACCCCACAAGGTTAATGTTTCAAGTTGTGGAATAACATGAAAAGCAGGAAATGATTCGAACTCCTTCCAGAACCCACCAATTTTCACTACCTTTAAGCGGGTGAGGGATGCTGGAAATTCACTGGGGGGTACACCTTTTAATCCAACACAGTCATAGATCTCCAACAGATGGAGTTGTGTGAGGCTGTCTAAACTTGGAATAGCTTTGAGATTCCCACAATGCCTTATTGACAAGTGCTTAAGAGAGGTACAATGTTGTAACCCACTCGGTAGGCTTGATAATTCATCACAATTTACAATATCTAATTTGCGGAGGGAAGGCAGGCCGTGTGTTATTGGAATGGATGTTATTTTGGAGCATCCTGTTATTCCCAACACTTGAAGAGAGGTGCAACGTTCTAGCCCCTCAGGTAGAATAGATAATTTATAACAATATGAAATCTCCAATTCACGGAGGGATGCGAGACTGAGTGTAATTGGGATGCACTCCAGAATGGGGCAATCCCTCAACACCATCTCCTCAAGGCGAGAAAACACCACTCTTCTTTCTGTTGTTGGAAATACTGCAGCTTCTTCCGTCCTCCATTCAGTTAGGTTCTTTGCATTTTCAATAGTTAATCTTTTCAATGAAGAAAACAAATCTCCGCACATCATCCAGGGTGGAAATGTATCACCACTAAAGTTGCGAATCTCTAAAATTTCCAATGCAGAGTGCGGTTTAAGGCCTTCTAGTACATCCCTGTCATTATTGATGCCTTCTCGTTGGTAGTTCCATCCAAGCCTTAGTCTGCGTATGTTTGTCTTCTCCGCTAACTTTGCCTCCTTTGCTTCTTCTCCATCTCTCACATGCTCCAGATCATAAATAGATAATTGGCCTTCCAAATGCTTTAAGCCACCCAGCTCCTTTATTTTACGACCTCTCTCCTTACCCACAATGAAAAAGGATAATGATCGGAGATTATTCAACCTCCCCATGCCAACTGGATATTTCATATTATAATACACATACAAGCTCCCCATGCCAACTGGAGAATACGCATACAAGGGATCAAAAGAAACATGTCTCAAGTTGATCAAATTTTGCAGTTCCTTGGGAAACTCTTCAAGTTTGAGTTCATGCATTCTTAACGTTTGTAGGTTATAAAGCTTGCCAATAGATTGGGGGAGCCTTTTGATATTTGTTGCTGAAATATCTAGATACCTCAAGTGTTTCAGCTCTCCAATTGAATTTGGCAACTCATCAATTTCAGCCCCCTGTAATTTTAAGACACGCATACCTTTAAATCTTGGTAAGATGTTACCACAAACTTCACGTATCAAAAACATTGAGCGCACTTTATGAGCAGCTCCTTTTGAAATTCCTTCTAGTTTTATCTCTGAAAACTGCGGCACACGTCGAATCTCATTAGAGTCCTGGATCTTTGATTTTGATACAAATTCTGCAAGATCATGCACCAAATCGTGCATCTTGAATGTGGTACTTTTGGTATTAATAGAATAACGAAAGACATCCTCTGGTACTGCAACATCTTGAAAAAGAGAGTTATCCAATAGAATTTTGAAAATTTTATTTCCTACATGTGAAAACCAGAGAATATGGTTTCTCTTACTTCATTCCTTTTCACGAGTTACATAAATAGCTATTAAAGTAATAGCTGTACAATAGAATAGTTTACAAAAAAGGAAAGAATATTACAGCAGTCTTCATGATGATGTCTTCCCTTTTTTATCTGGCAGCATCTTCTTCCATCATGTTGTTTTCTTCATGGCAGACAAATCACGTGTCAACACTCCCCCTCAAGTTGGTGCATAGATGTTTCGAATGCCCAACTTGTCGAGGCATGAATGAAAACTTCTACTTGATACAGCTTTTGTCAAGATGTCGGCCAATTGATCTTCAGTTTTAACAAACAAGTCATCCTTTTCAATTGTGAAACCTTTGATGAACATTGAGCAAAAGGCACAGCATTGCTTCAAAGATGATGATTTCAGTTCATCAAAACTCAACATCAAAACCCCCTTTAGTCTTTCTTCTTCTTCTGGTATATCCAATATTGTATTATTTTGAATGGACTGCCATTCATATTCACTCCTTTTGTGCATCATACTTCCCAAGATCTGTTGGCACATGAGTTTGAATCGCAATTAAATGATAACAATAACCACAATATCCAATTCGCATTTTAATAGAACATGACTATATTTCAATGAAAAATAAAGTCATCGACAAACAAATCTTTGGTTAAGTTTTTTATTTTATTTTTTAAAAATGGTTAGTAAATTTTTTCTTCTACTTTATTCTTTCAACCATCTCTTCAACTCATTTTTCTTATTTTCCCAATTAATTAAATAAATAAATAAGGTAGACCTCAGTTTTCTTTAAGTACATCTGAATTAATTAAATATAAGATTCATCTTTATTCAACAATATACCTTTGCCAATAATGGTAGACCTGCACACTTTATGGCTATGTCCCTTCCAATTCTTTCCTGATCTTCACTTAAAGTAGCATTCCTGCCTGAAAGCGCTTTATTCTTCAATATGAGCCAACATTCATCAGCTGATAGCTTTCTCAAATCACGCATAGGAAGCGTCTGAACTATTGATGCAACACGGACACTGCGTGTAGTGACAAGGATGCTGCTTCCTTGAGTATCTTTGATATTTAACAAACAACTCATCAACTCTTCCCATTTGTGAGGATCCTCGTTCCATACATCATCAAGAATGAGGAGATATCGATTCCCTTCCAAAATTTCTTGGATGCTTTCACATATTGCTGCCTTGCCTTTTACCCCAGCCTTTGTCTGGTTAAGATACTCCAAGATCCCGCTTAAAATCGTCTTCACGTCAAAAGGGTTAGATACGCATACCCATATTTTTCTGTTGAAATGGCTGCCTATCTCATTTTCATGATATATTGCTTTAGCCAAAGTGGTCTTTCCTAAGCCTGCCATTCCCACAATAGCCATAACACAAGGACGAGTCTCTCGTTTATTGCTTGAGTTGATTAAGTCTGTAACTATATCTGACACAAGCTCATCCCTTCCGACCATGTTCTTTTCATCCTGATCAAAGCCGGGGACGGTTTCCCTGTCAAGTACTGCTGCTCTATTATCATGAGAGGTCGATAACCTTGCAACAAGCCCAATGCCACCTGCCCTATTATTTAAATCCTCCAAAGCAGCGTTGAGCTTCTCAATCTTATGTGCCATTTTGAGGCGGAATGCAATGGGATTGTAGTGGAGTGAAAGGAAGCTGAGCACTTTTTTCATCATTTGGTTTCGCACTTCCACTTGACGGCGGAGAAGT